GCTGCAATATAACAAAGAGTGAAAAATTTAAGGGGGTCTGAATACTTTCCGTACCCACTGTATATATGACATATATATATATATATATTTATTAGGTAAATTAGTTACCTATTTAAACACCAAAAAAAACTCCCTATTTATACACATGCCATGCCATCAGTGATAAAAATTTATCTGTCTGACCTACCTTGTCACGCTCGAACAGCTGTAGGAGGAAAGTGGCCACCGTGGCTGTTATGCCAATGAAGAGATTGATGACTATGAGGAAAACATAAGCTGTGCTGGGCACCTCAAACCAGAAAGATGCTGGATACATAATGGGGGTTATAGACCAGCTAGAAAGAGAGAGCGAATTGTCACATTTAATGTGGCATTTTAAGACCTGAATAAAACTGATAAAAAAAAAATTGTTTAAAAAACTGTATTTACTGTCACACTGTCTGATTGAGTATTCATACAGAAAGAGCTTACCCATAAAGGAGGAAGAGAGAGAGCACTGCTGGGAAATTTGTAGGTGATGTGTATGCAGGAAGGTCAAATACAAACAAAATTAGGACACAGCACGTTGCTGGAACCAGGTAGTTCAGCTAGCGAAGAAAGGATAAAAGAAAACCATTTTAGCCCTCAGGACTGTTCTTGTTTGTGAATAAGCACCAACTCCCACATAGTCTCTCCTTCATCTTACCATGTCCCATATGTAGTTTGCTAGCCAGTACGTGACAGGGTCACATCCACTGACAAACTGCAGGTGTTTGGCTTTGGTGGATTTTTCTGCTACCAGGAAGACCACGAAGCTTGCTGGCACAAAGGACATGGCTACAATGATGAAGATGGCAATAACCACATCAGTGCCCTGGAGCCTAGAAGAAGATGAAGAGTGGATATGAAATCAAAAATAAGCAATGAGTGTTCGAGGGTTGGAACAGGAAGAAGAGAGGAGAGTAGGACTTACAGATAATCCAAAGAAAGACTGGCACTGGTTCTGTTCATTGGATGATTGGTCACTGTGATGCCTGTGAACACAAACAGAATTTTTAGTGCAATTAAACAATCTTCATAAAAGAAAACAACAGAATGAATATGACTTGTGAAGTGTGCACAATTATAGAGAAACAACATAGTCAATCAAAGTTTTCAGTCAATGTTTCCTAGATAGTTACCTGCATCTAATTCAGACTCACCGTATGCAGCAGGGTTTCCTTTACTACTGGGCAGATTGGCTCTGAGGATGGCATTGTTCAGGACATTTAGGTAAGTGGGCATACTATGATACCCTTTGTTATTGTAAAGCACCTGTAGAGGAAGACAAAAACATTAAACTTATGATGAAATATTAGCTCAAAACATATATCAGCTATAAAGAGTAAGGATGCTCTGACTTGCCTGTGAGGATCGCCTCACTGCTATTTTGCGCACCATGGGTGGAGTTTTTCTCCCAAAGGATGCTGGGACAGATTTCTGAATGTTTCCTACAGTAAAGCCTCCATATCTACAGGATATGACAAAAATCATTAAGTTTTTGAGTTCTTGTAAAAAAAATTAAAAAAAAGTTTTTGCCTCCATCCAATTAACAACCAATGGATTGAAACAAGATCACCGTAGATTCTTTTTCGATAATCAGTTTAACTCGGACGTATTTCACAATACGGAAGAAAAGACCTGTCGCTACTTCTGTTACGAAGCGATTTTAAAGGACTCATATTCTGAATATCATATACATATACTTATAAACTCCTATATAATTAATTTGTATGTTCAAAACTCAAAACGTCCAGTCAGTCCAAAAAGTCCATTAATCAAAATTGCACTGCACAAACAGTTCTGAACTCATTTGTTTGTGGTGATGAATACACTAGCACATTTACAAATGGGCAATGATACTGTACCATATTACAAAATATTCAGTATTCAGCAACTTGGTCTGAAAAAGACCAAGAGTTTAAGAATAAGAGTTTTATGCTTAATAAATTACCAATAGGGTAAAACAATCAGCTTAATTCAAAACATATTCTATATTCTGTCGAAAAATACCTTGTATTTTTAACACTGAAAAATAATCAGTAGTGTTATTAGCATAGCAACATATAACATAGCAAAATTTCCTAAATAAAAAATAGCATAAGATAGTACTTATTTATTAACATTTGTTGGAGGTTTAAGAATGACAAATAGGGTAAAAACAATAAACATATTTCAAGATATACTCTACATTCTGCCAAAAATACTTCTTAGTATTTTCAGCAATGAAATTTAATCAATAGAGCCGTTAACATAGCAACATGCTAATATATATTGTATAATATTCATATATTATATAATATTATATATTAATATATAATATTCAGTATTCAACAACTTGGTCTGCTCCATCACTTTGCTGGCATTGCAAAGACGCTCATTAAAAAACTTTATTGAACCTGGCAGCAAACCCACAAATTCAGAGTAAGCATTTCACATGCAATACTTTTTATATAAAATCTTAAAGGTACAGTAGAAAAAAAAAAACAGCCATCTTGGCTGCTATGTTACTACTAGGAAATTAATTAGGAAATGAATTAAATCAATTAGTAAATTCACTAAAATATGATATCACCCCTTTTGACAGCCTTTCAGAAGATTACCTGTGTAATCTGAGACGATCAGAGGTGTACAGGAGATATTCTGACACATTGCGACCTGTGATGTCCACCAAGATGTCTCCGGTTACTACCTTCATGAGGGGCGGTCGGCCCCCGACTCCACTGGGGCAGGAGAAGCCTGTGCCCTGCATGGAGCAGATACAGCGTACCGGCTCCCGGATGCTCAAGGGCAGAGTCGGGGGAGACGTTGCCATCTCTGTGGGAGCACAGCACGGTGAGAGGTGCAATAACAAATGAGTGGAAGAATCCATATTGCACAGCTTAATGGAAAAAGACAGAGTTGGCACCCAGGATGTTTTAGAATAATCTACATTATGCAAGGAAATGCATTTTTTACTTTTAGCAATAGTCAGCAGGAGTTATTTTCAGTCTTTCCTAATATCATATCCAAAGGTGCATAACTTTCAGTATCAATCACTATTTTTATTTCTTTTATATCTCTTGGCTGCCAGTCAGTGTTATTTTTTGTTGTAGTCATAGTTTTTTGTCTTCTGATGAAAATTTGTATTAAATTTAGTTGTATCATGTTATATTCATTTAAGTTTACTCAGTTACTAGAATGACATCTAATTTTAGTCCAGAAAAATTACAATATATTTGATTTAAAAATTGCTAAATTAAACCAAATATTCATTGTTATATATTAATTATAGTGTTAGGTATTTATACTGTTCTTACACTGCTGTAAAAAAAAAAAACTTCGTTCCCACAAAAATATATAGCAGTACAAATATTTTCAACATTTCTTAAGCACCAATTCAACATATTCGAATGATTTCTGAAGGATCATGTGACACTGAAGACTGCTTAAAATTCAGCTTTGCCATCACAGAAATAAATTATATTTTAAAATTTATTAAAATAAAAAACTGTTATTATTTTAAATTGTGAATTTAAAGTGAAAGTGCAGGAGTATCTACATTTGATCAGTTTTGTGCTGAGCTTTACTGAAACAAAACCAAGCACATTTAACCATACACCAGTCTGTAAACTCTGACCTCGGACAGTAGTGGGAGGAGCAGCAGTGTAGTTCCAAAGGCCATCTTCAAAATGTGCATCTGGGTCATCTGAGGGGGCAGGAGAGGGTGGAGGGGGCACAAAATTTGACAAAGGCACACCCTGTGTGAAGGAATCCAGGCACATAGAGTCAAAGTAGCGGGCTGCCAGGGTTTTGGAGTTGTTGGCATATGGATTCAGGGATTGGGCCAGTTGGTCCAGAGTGCTGTTGAAGGGAGTCTTCAATACACACGTCGCACCAACTCCAGAGGGTGAACGCAGGGTGTTAACAATCCTCTGTGGACTGGCATCTGGAGAACGTTTACTCCTGGAGCAAAGAAAGGTTGAGAGGGATTGAGAGAGAAAATTTCTGTGTCTTCATTACAATTCAAAAGAAGCCTGTAGATATTTAAAGTGTTATTTTGCTGTACAATGACCTTGTGGCTGACCTGTACTGAAGCCTGTCTTCATTGGCATAAAGGATGAAGTTTCCACGAGGCTGTGTGTAGTTGTGATACTGAGATGGAGACAGAATCAGGGGGGGAAGGTCACCTAAGAGCCAAAGAGAGACCATCAGAACATCCTTCACTTAGGTCTAATTCAGATCTGCATTTTTTTTGTGCAAGATAAACTGATAAACACTGCTCTGATTAAATTATATAATCTCACATATTTTTAAAAAGATTTTGCCATCTAAATTAGTTTAATTGAGAGTTAGTGGTTCTTTGTTAGTAGCTTGTACTGCAACTTTCATTTGGAAAATGTTTATTTCACTGGATTATTTAAATTATATTTAATATGAATTATAATTTTATCAATTAAAATGTATATTGTATACACAATAATGAAAAACATTGAAAAATTGAATTTTCTATGTTTTTGAAAGAGGTTTCTTATGTACACCTACCAACCATGGCTGCATTTATTTGATAAAAACTACAGTAAAAACAGCAATATTGTGTAATATTATTCAAATTTTTAATATTGTGAAATATTAAAAGCAACTTTTAATGTACTTTTTTAACAACTTTTAATGTAATTTAGTCCTGTGATATAGGGAAATGACGTGAGCTGGACTCAAACTCACAATGCCAACATGCCATCTCAGACATTAATCACTGAAAATGTGCAAGTCCACAAATGAGAAGATCCGCACATATACCTGCAGTGTGTGAGTCACTCTGTTTCTTGACAAGTGTAAGTTTGTAGCCATCTCCATATGTGCTCTTGAGGAACAGGGGGGAACCGCAGCACTTGAGTTTGCCATGAGAGATGATGGCAATACGGTCTCCCAGCAAATCCGCCTCATCCATGTGGTGAGTGGAGAGCAGGATGGTACGACCTGCTCACACACAGATTCTAGTTTTGGACTGATCATATATTTGGAAACCGATTATCGACCCCAAACTTTTAAACAGTACTGTTGATAGGATAGGATCACCTTGTTTATATTTAAGAATGAGGTCCCAGATTGCTCGGCGGGCATACGGGTCGACTCCTGCTGTGGGTTCATCCAAAATCACCGCCCGGGACCCACCTACAAACGCAATTGCCACCGACAACTTCCTCTTCATCCCCCCAGACAGAGTCTGAACCAGACTGTGACGCTTGTTGGACAATTCAAGATCCTCTATCATCCTGTGAATTCCAACACACAGCCTTTATGAACTCAGGTATGGGTACGATTGAGAAAGTGTTAGCAAAATGCGAGTATGTTAACCCACTTGTCCATCTCCTTCCGGATATCTTCTTCAGCCATGCCCTTCAGACGCGAGTAGAACCACAGGTGTTCCTCCACACTGAGCTTGTCAAACAGAACGTTGTGCTGGGGACACATGCCCAAATTCTGCCTGATGCGCTCCATCTCTGTGCGGATGTCATGGCCGTATATGGTGGCAGAGCCAGAGGTGGGTGGAAACAGTCCCGTGAGTATAGACCTATAAGAGATTCATTATATATTAAATGAATTTTCTGCAGGACACATTAGTTTCATACATACATCCACTTTTACAGTTGTAGTGTGCCATTGTCAGCCAATAACAAGCACAGTATGGGTCCAGAACCACCCTAACACACACTAAGAAACACAATATCCTAACACTCACATAGTGGTGGTCTTGCCAGCCCCATTGTGTCCCAAGAAGGAGACAACCTGGTTTTCATGCAGGTTTAGGCTCAGCTTGTTTAGGGCCAGTTTGCTGCCTGTCTTGTAGACTTTGGTCAGTTTGTCTATGCACACCACCAGCGGCAAGTGACTGGGTTCTTCTTCAATTCCACGAGTTTCCTCTAAGCAACAAACAGACATAAATTTAGTAACATGCCTAAAAATCTCTCAACAAATTACATTATTTATTCACAAAACACAGCTAACTTTAACAAAGAGTGCAAGCTGATAATATGATGGATGGATGGATACGGAACAAAGTGTACCTGAGCGTCTGTGTTCCATAGCACAAGCTTGGTCCTCCTCCATCACGCTTAGCCTGGTGCCGCCACCCCATGGCCGCTCCCACGTCTCTATGCGGCCACTTCCTAACCAATAGGATTTCTGCAAGGGAAAATACCATGGCCTAGGCAGTCCGTACATTCCTGTTTATGAAAAAATTGTTTATTAAAAATTATGAAAAAACCAAAAGCATATACTTTAATTTTGATAATGTGTAACAAGAATGTAGGCACTGTTTGCACTGCACAATAATGACATCACTGCAGCTTACCTGGATGCACAGCCTCTATATACCAAGTCAACACACCATATACAATGGCATCAATGGTGAGCATAACCATAGACAGCAGGAGGTTAAAGTCATCGCCCTCTACAGGTGACTGGTTGATAGTGCGCCACTGGATTCCAACCCCAGCAACTTCATACAGGGCAAAGTACTTCGATCCCAGACCGAATGCTGTGGTAGACATTAAAGACTGCACACACACAGAGGAAGAATCACTTATGAGAAATGTTTACTGAAGATCAATAGACTATCAAAATGGAACATGAAAAGTATTCATGGGATGTCTTCATACCGCTATACACTTCTCAAAGGCAGTGATTTTGTCATGAGCCACCTCTTCTCTTATGGCCACGTACATGTATGGCACATAGCTCAGAAAGTAGATGATTCCTCCACATGCTGAAGCCAGTTTGGCTTTAGAGTACAACACAGACACTAGGAAACTTCCCAAAAAGAAAGTGGAGAAAACATTTACATAACATAACACTAACAACTTTTGGACTACTTTTCTTTGTTGAAAAACAATGTAAATAGAATGAAACCAGGTAGTGAGCAAGTAAAAATCATATTATGGCTCCAGTACCAGAACATGATGGTGGCGACGGCATAGATTGTAAGGAAGAGCCAAATGATAAAGGGATCGCTGTGGAGGAGGACCTTGCCATATTTCAGTATGGCAGTGAGGGCTGTCACTGAGATCGAAAGCTGCACGAAGCCTGTGATGAACCAGGCCACCCAGTGCACTGCATTATTCAAGCCCATCATCTTCATCACCTGTGGAAAAACACCTTGCATTAACCATGGCACCGCTCTCGATCTCTCTGAAGTTTGTTGGTGACACCAGTTTCTCAGCAGAGGAATTTGTCATTACTCCAGTCTTCAGTGTCACATGATCCTGCAGAAATCATTCTAGTATGCTGATTTGGTGCTTAAGAAACATTTCTTATCAGTGTTCCTTATTAATCATGATTCCTTTTTTACATGATACTTTGATTAATAGAAAGTTCATTTTTGTCAAAACTTACTGATCCCAAAATTTTAAACCGTAGTGCATTTTTTCCATCGAATTTCCAGCAAAAATGTAGTGCTATATATACTGTTTACCATAATATGTACCTTTATATCCCATACATTATCTATATATCCTTACATTCACTAGAAAAACAGCACATACAACAATCACATTTCAACTGCTCTGTGTCCTTCTTACCAATCTCAGGCACAGATAGAGCTACAGTCATTGCCACACAGACAAAGAAAGCAGGAAGCAGGATCTGCGAGAAAATGCCCTTGGTGTTCCTCTTCGCACAGTGAAACCTTTTCACTATCAGCCCGTGAAACTGCCGGAGTTTCAGCCACCAGCCCTCAAGCTTAAAGCTGCCCTGGCCCTCCTGTATGGTCCGCTCCGGTGAGGACTCTTCATCTGGGGCACAGAGGGTATATAGTACACGGAGTGGTAAGTAAGCATCTTATCTTTATCTGTTACCTCCAGGCCTTTCAGAGATGCATTTGTCTCTGACAGACTTCCGCTTTAAATTTCCAGAGGTGGCAAACAGCACTAGACAAAATGTTCTTTCTAAAAGCCTTAAAGGTATAACTATAAAAAGAGCTGTTTCCTAGTTTGTTCCTTCACTGTCTACAAACTACCACCTGAGCTATTAATGAAGAAAAGTGTCTACAAATTTCAAGTAATTAAATACATAATAATACAAATAAATTATTAAATAAATGTTAGGTTATCTCATTTAATAAAACATTTAAAAATATTTACAAATTACCTGTAATTAATAATTAATTAATGTTTAACTGTCTAATCAGCTTTGAATGTTCAGTTTTTTAGAACTTTTAGAACTCTTACAGACCATAATAAAAACTGAATAAATTAATAAATTTATGCTAATAACATAAAATGACCAACACTGAATAATAATAATAATAATAATAATAATAGTAATAGTAGATAATTATGGCTCTCAATTGATAAAACATTTAAAAATATTTAATAAACGTTAATGCATTCAGTTTTTTTTTTTTAGAAAGTTTTTAGAAATCACACAGCACAATGAAACAGTTACTATGTCTAATTTAATAAATGTGTTAATATCATAAAATAATAATGCAATTAATTTGATTAAATAATAATAATAATAATTTATATGCTATTTTCCTGACCTCTGAGACTGGCTGGATCCTGGCCATTGTCAAATAGTGGGCAATAGTCTCCATAGAAGTCAGAATAAAGGCCCCCTTCATCCCCTCTTATTGAGCCCAGAGAAGAACCGGATTGTAGGGACGCTTGGCTTGGGCTCAGCCTGGAGCACATCATCAGGTTATTGAGCTCCATCTCTGGCCGGATCACGGCAGCAGCTGGTGCCCCCTCACACTGCGGCCCTCCTAACAGATTAGAGGGCTTCCCAGCTGATGCTCCACCAGGAGAGTCCTTCATATCTGACAGAGAAAACGAGAGGGATACATATGAAATGTGAACCATAAATAAAATTTCATGGCTTTAGATGCATCTCTACAGCATTCTTCAACAGATCTATCTGACCATCTAACCTGCATCGCTGTTCTCCAGTGACAGATCTTCTTCTGATACCTTCAGAAAGACCTCCTCCAGTGTGGTGTCCATCACACCAAAGCTGGTCAAGGCCAAGCTGTCCAAACTCTGTTCCAGAGCCTGAAGAAAATAGAACCAACACATGTGCCCATCAGTGAACGCCTCATATTCAATTTACTAAAGATTTTTACTGATATCAGATTATGTTTTTCCAGTGGTCTAAAATGTTTGTGTGTACCTGAAACAGCCTCTCGAAACAGCCTTTCCTGACAGCCTCAGACGGTAGGACATAAGAGAGCTCAGTGTTGGAGTCAGACACCAGCAGACAGGAGGCAACGTACTGACGGATGAACTGTGTCACTCTGCTCTCTGAACATGGAGATATCGAAGAGGCGGGAGACTGGCTTGACTGATCTAAGAACAAACAGAAACATGATGTTGGGTCATGGCAGATGAAACAGTAGAAGAAAAACTAGGAGATTTTTCATCTGCTCTTTTGATATTTTAAGGGAACAAACAATGAAATGAGGAACAGAAGAACGGATTTAAAAAAGATTACGGAGATAAAACAGATACAACAAATTTTTCACCAAAAAATGACCAGTATTTTACATTGTAAAACAGATATTTACCAATAGATTTAGATAATAAAGTGATAAACGATTTTATACATGTAGAATAATGTTATTTTATTATTATTTATATACTATTATAGCTTTTATTAATTTTTCAAATTAGCTTTTAGTTTTATATTTTCAGGTTCCATTTTAATTTTAGATACATTTTTAGTAATGGTGTTTTCTTTTGCTTTTTTTTTTTTTTTTAAGTTTTTTATATTATTATTTAAGTTTAGTTTATTTTAGTTTTAGTTAAGTTTTAATTTTATTTATTTTTCAGTTAATTTTACAGCATCAACTTATTTCAGTTGGTTGCAAAGACAACATTTCAAATTTTCATTTAGTTTAAGTTTTTCATCATCTAACATTTAGATTTTATTTCAGCATTATTTCAATTCATATTTTTTTTTAAATAGTTTTAGTTGAATAACCTCCTTCTCTGCTACGATGTGCTGGATCATCATGGCCACAGAGTAGACCCAGGATATGACCATACAGAGAGGCATCATGTGCTCGATAACAAACAGGAAACTGCAAATGGAAACACCTGTTACAACTCCTCACCTCCACAAGCTGATTCATTACTAGCACTGACCCCTAATATGCAAGCACCTGTAACTACTTTCTTTCTTTCTGAGATACTTAGAACACCCTTTTTAAGGATACCTAAAAGTTTGCTTGCAGTGGTTGGAATTCTCTTCAACTGCTTTTTTCCCCCCACAGTATTGTCTCCAAACGTGCAAATGATACAAAAATCCATAACACCCAAGATGTTTACACTTTAAGATTTTCTAAATTGGCTTTCCTTTAATAGTAGTAACACACATTAAGGTTTTTTTCCTAAAATATACCCACATCTGTTTGGTCTTAACAGTTTTAGAAGCATCACAGCACAAAGTATGAGTCTATGATTGTCCTCTTTCCCCTGAAGGAGACTGACTAATGCTGTGTCATCTGCAAATTTAATGCAGAGTGGAAGCAGAGCTTGTGTGAATTTGCCTGGAGCTAGGGATGTTTTTTTTATATATATATATAAGCATCTGTGTTCTTTCTGGCTCCGAGATCATTCAGATACCACTCCATAATGTGCATTAACTTGCATTAGAACGCAATGCAACTGAACATCTGCGATTCACCATGTCTTAAACACAGCGTTTTAGGCTATGAGCAGTCAGACGGAAAAAATGTTGGTTACACTTTACTTGAAGGGGTGTGCATAAGACTGACATGACACCTTCATAATCATGACATTTAATGACAGTTGTCATAAACATGCATAAAACCTCCTTCATATTCATGACATGTGTCATGTCATGATTATGAAGGTGTCATGTCAGTCTTATGCACACCCCTTCAAGTAAAGTGTTACCAAAATAATGAACACAAAATATACAACAAAAGTAAAGACCAATCTCACTCGTCTCTAGTGTAGCATGGATAGGGAAACATCTGCACGTAGTTTCCAGGCTCAACAACATCATGGCCCACAAACGTGTTAATGATTGCCCGCTCAATCATATCTAAAAGAGGAAGAAACATGGGAAATGTCAACACCCCATCACGTAAACATGCTGAAGCTGAATTTACAACACAGCAGCTTTATGCTGTGGGAAAGCTTTGATCCTCTTGCCTTTTCTGAGCTCTTAAATAAGTGCAGCTTCCAGAAACGCCAAGCCAGCACTTTATTGACTGTTGCACCAAGCCATACATAAACAGGTACACATTTCACCAGAATAACTTTCATTTGGAATAAAACATCAAATTCATTCCACTTTTCCCATGCCAATTCAGTACTCTGCGGATGTTGTTTCAGAGCGAGCGATTTATTGCTTTGTCAACAGTTTTGTAAAGAATTTTGCACAAATGTCAGAACTAACGCTCAGAGGTTTAGACTACCACTCTCTAGATGAAAGCTAAATCTTTTAATGCCAATAAAATCAAAACTTTAAAGTGCTCACAGCTAAAGTAGATTACAAATTGTATTTTTTGGGAAAGGACAAATTCCTGCTAAGTCTTCTTATCATACCTTGGATCCACACAAAACCATAAAGGAAGTAGAATTTGCCGCCCGTGTTCGGCCCAGGGCGCCAATAAGCTCGGCGGATTTCATTTGTTTTCTCTGTGAAGCTGGAGTTCTGTCGAATCTTATACATAACATGGGGTGGCAGAGATCCATCTTTATTGGTCTGGAAAATCACACCTAGAGAGAAAGCACAGATTAAACACATGGCTACTGGCTACATTTAACAAGGTATGACTAAGGTATGACAATGAAAATGTAATTTTAATGGGAAATGGATGGGTCAGTGTCTCAACCTTGTTAAGAAATAGCCGAGTCATATTTCACCCCAAAATCACATGAAAAATCGTTTACATAAAAAAATTAAGCCTTCATTGCATTGTGATATTATCTTCAGGACAATTTTATCTCCCCAAATTCTCATCACAATAAATGCACATATTTAAACATATTTTCAATGATGATTCTCATCACAATAAATAATACAAAGATTTACAGTTACATGATTTTTAATACATTTTTAATAAAAAACAAAGAAGAATATGGTATGCTCAGAAGTTCTGTTAGATATGTTTGAAGGTGCTCTTTGGCAGCGATAAATTGCAATCCAAAAAACAATGATTCAATGCAAACTTCAAAAAAATTCCTTCAACTGGCCATTTCATGATAGAGAACTTTTAAAAAGAGTACCAACAGTGAACACTGAGGAAGGCACTAGTGGCTGAAACAAGTGGGTTTGCAGCCCTTTATTTTTTGTACTTGCTCTTTTTAAATGTTTTCTATTATGAAATAGAAATAGTTGAATAAAGCCTTTGTAGTAGTTTTTTTAAATGTGCCTTGGATCATTGTTTTTAGACTGTAATTTTTTAAATGTTTATACTTTATTTTATTAAAATACAGTACAACAAATAATAATTTAATAATTTTCACATGATTAAAAATGAATGAATTAATTAAATTTCACATGAATTAAAATATGACTGACTGTCTATAATATATATACATATATATACACACACATAGGCAAATAATCGTAATAGTCATAAAAATGGCTTAATTGTTTATTTCATTTTCTAAGCAAAATATACATGTTTATTTCTTTGTTTTGATTTGGGAGGGAAGTTTTGTTACAATCACTTTTTTTTCACAAAAACGTTTTTGAGATCCAGTGATTACTCACTTGCAAAGACCGAGACGTTGTCCTGGTAGGCCTGGTTCAGTGTGTAATTGACAATGCTCTCTTCATCAGGGAAGCCTCTGAAGATATCCACACTGACCTGAGGCATTTAGAATAAGCTTTAGTTTTTAGAAAAAAAACATTTTGAAATAAAAGTCAGAAATATATTTTTGCTATTAAAGGGGTCATATGATGCTGCTAAAAAGAACATTATTTTGTGTATTTGGTGTAATGAAATGTGTTTATGCGGTTTAAGGTTCAAAAACACATTATTTTCCACATATTGTACATTATTGTTTCTCCTCTATGCCCCGCCTTTCTGAAACGCGTCGATTTTTACAAAGCTCATCAGTCTGAAAAGCGAGGTGTGCTCTGATTGGCCAGCTAGAGTGAGGAACGGCCGGCGGGCTGAGTGAGAGGAGGTCGGTGAGCTTGAGAACGGCATGGCCGGTGGGCTTGCGGCAACCATATGTGACGACTCCGGGCTGGGCTCCGCTTCGTCCACGGTGAAAGCCGATCCGGTGATCCACAGCGCGAAGTTGATGTATTTCCTCATCCGACCAGCACGGATCAGCTCCAAGCATGACGAAGCAGATATAGTCCTCTATTGGAAGGCCAACAAAAGTAGTTTCGCTTTCACAACGAAACACAGCGCCTTCACGACATGGTGGCGGCGGCAACAACAATACTACAGCGAGAATAAAAGTTATGCCTTCTTTCTTTGCGTGAACATTTGGGCGGCGTTATGCAAATCTTCCCACATCGTGACGTAGACATGTGGGGGCGTGTTAGAACGAGCCGTTTTAGGTAGGCGTGGTTGACTCTTAACTTTTATAAAGAATATCTCTTTGGATTTGAGACTTTAGTCTTTGCAACTTTACAGATCTTCTTTATGCACCAAGAGCTCGTAACACTCCAAAGAGAAAGGAAAAATTGAAATCGCATCATATGACCCCTTTAAATGAAGAACGCAATTAAATAAAAAAAGGAAATAGTTGTTTTCATGTTAATTCTAATTCCCCCTCAAAACACACTACACAAGGTTTTCTTTTTTTTAATGGATATAAAAGATAGGACAAGTTAAATCAAATTGTTCTCCTGACCTTTGACATGAAATTTGTCCAGCCACAAGCAGCATTATCGATGGTGTGCAGCTGTTCCAGTAGTGTGGTTGTGTTCGGCAGGGTGAAGTTCTCCTCCAGCAGACTGTTCATCAGCTCACTGTCTGAAACGTTCAACAGGTCATGGTGCCTCTTCAGGTCTGCAATGAACTACGACATACGGACAAAACAAAAGACATCAAGCACATGCACAACACAAAGTGCTTTTCAAACTAAGCGGCTGAAAGACAGAATGTTACCTGCTGGAGCCACATCAGGTGATTGTGTAATTTACCCTCCTCTAGGAAGGCCCTTAATTCAGCTGAGATGTTGAGCCACACACGGGCATAATGAGTCACATTCCCCACAAAAGCAAACGTCTCATTGGCCTAAAGTGAAAACAAAAAAAATCTGATCAAAATCTTTATAGCTATCCCAAATGATTCTCTATTAATTGGGTACAACCTAAATTAAATGAAAGAATGACCAGCACAAAGTTTTAAAAGGTCATTTGGTTTCAGGAGTAATTAATCTGCAATTTTTTATTGCAGAATGGTTTAGGCAGCAAACCCAGTTGCTACATTATAAATGCTCACTGTAAGATTTTTTCAGCCTTGAAACACCTTAGACTTGTCTGGATTTACCTTTTGTATGACCTTGTCCACCTCTGAGCCAATGGGAGAGTAGAGGATTTTGGGATTTGTGGTCACGAGATGGACAAGTAATCCCAAGTTTCTTTGTTCTTTGCTGGTAAAGCCCAGGGAACTCATATTGCCCTGTTTCAGAGCTTCTGGCTCAATAATTCTGATAAAACAATAAAGATTATTGAAAAAAAAAAAAATCAGATTTAACATTCAGAAAGGTAACACATCGTAACACTCAAATACTCACCTGTTATTCCCACAAAGAATGGGCTGAAGACCTGCCCACAGCTGAACAAAGGCAGAAAACTGTGATCTAGGGTTTTCGGCATCGGCCTCATTTCCTGCAGCTCTGCCTCCTTCCTCCACAGGGCTGTCTGTTGTGTTGAGACCCCATGTTGTTGTGTTGGAGCTCCAGGACGTGGTGTTGGCTATAGGAGGAGGCAGGTGGCCTGCACAGGCCCCTTTAGGGAGCAGTCTGGCCAGACCTGATAGCAAATCCACATCCCTCAGGAGCCGTTCTACATCTGCCAGGTTCTTCAGCAGAGCGCCGAGATGGGATTGATCCAAGAGACCAGACATGTTAGACTGCTCCAGACTCAACTGAGGAAGGAGGACAGGAAAGAGTGCCATATAGAGAAAGGAAAGAGGAGCAATACTTAATCGTAATAGGTAAAAATGTACAGTATCAGAGTGTTTCTCTTCAACTAATGGGCACTTTTAGCTCTGTAGACTTATAAAGTGTATTAAACACTCTTTTTGTACTCTTAATAGTTTAATTTGTCCACTAATAATGTCTAACTATATGGGAGAAGTCTTTTTTTCCTTTTCATTTTTCCTGAAAGTAATGAAAATTCCTACCACAGTGTAATTTCCAGCACATCTCAAATTCTGTGTTTAATAGCACTCTGTGACTTTTTTTTAATTACAGTGGAAATTACATTTTGGACAATAATAAATGATATAAAATGACAGATTCCTTTCTAAAGCTAGTTTCACAGTTAGCATTTCTATATCCTAAAACACACAATAAATAAATAAGCACTTTTTGCATAATTTAACAAAATTACAGCTTGATTGGAAATAAGAATTTAATAAAAATAAAAATGATAATAACTTTAATAAAAATTAACCCCTGAGACATAAAACGCAAATATCACACTGTGTCCGTTTAAGAAGATGTGCTGTTCTTCCATGTACCTCATCACAGACTCTCTGTGTATCAATCTGATCTCTCAATTCTTCACTCATCTCCTTAAACAGCTCCGCCCTCTGCTCTGCCCTTCCACCACAAACAGTCGTTCGATAGGCCTGTAAAACTGCTTCTTGTTTCTCAGGGACCAATAGGATTTTGCTCATCTCACTGTTCCCTCCTTCCCCACAAGTGAGTGTTTCAAGCACTGCACCAGTCAACAGAATTCCCTGAAAAATAATGTAAGAAGATTTGTGAGGTGTCTTCATTAAACTGAAGATTATGATTTCTGTGGAACAAAATTGCAAAAAAATTAATTTAACATTTAAAACACTTTTAAAAGTGGAGTTGCAGACCGACCTCCACCTCACGCAGAGCTTGAGGATCAAATTTTTGGCCTCCTCCACCTCCAGTGATCCCCAGGGCCTGGGACAGGACTTTGAGCAGAGCTTGACGGCGAGCAGCTTTAGTGGGGTCTCTCAACACCTTCTGAATCAGACCCCCATCCAGACTACGCCAGCCTCCAAGTAACTGCTTCTGAGTATGAATGAAACATTCTGATTGTTTTATAATTGCAAGGTTATAAGCAATTGCATGCCCTAATTGGAAAGTCCTTTACAGCAAATGACTTACTATACTACTATCTATATATAGCAGGGGTGTTTTGTCCCTGTTTTGAGTAGGCCATGTCTATGCAAAACAAATTGGCACAAGAAATAAATCAACAGTCTAAATTTACTTCTTTTTTTTTTTTTTTTTAAATGCTTAAACTTGACAAGACTGGTATGACATTAATGTGAAAACATCAGTTCAATTTGCCCAGCAGAATGAAATGTAACCAGAACCTAAGTATTTATGAAAATATGAACACACCCCACAAAAAAAAAAAATGCTTTGCCTCCTCATTTCAATAGTCTGCTACACGCCACTGATGCATTGTGAGATCACACCTAACCGTATACTGAATCTAAACGAACAGTATTAGTTTCAATATGTAAAAAAAAATTTTATGGGTGTCAAAATGGATATTGTATAACACATATTATTATATTTAACATTTCCCAACTATTAAGCATCATAAAAATCTGATATAATTTCAATCTGATATCTTTACCTCACAACCTCTCTCCAAAACCACTAACACAAAGACATATCAACAAATTAGCAAACAGAGCAAATGATTTACAGGCAGAAAGCGTTGCTGATACGAAAAAAAAAAAAAAGGTGCTGCCTGCTTCCCTGACTCTTTTTTTGCCATTTTCAATGTCTAGGGCTGGGACACAGACAGGTGATTTCTCAGGACTATCTGTCAAATAGTAGGTACATTATGTGTGTGGCATTCAAAAAAAGTTGCTTACAGCAGCTCAACAAGTATGAAATATGAATGAGAAAGGCACTGCAGAAGCACTGGCACTGCATTAAGTAAAGTGTGGGACAATTATTATATCATTTAATTATTGCAGACTTGCATTACTCTAAGTTTAGTGCTTGCACTTCTTGTGCATTTTAATGGAGTTTAAGAAATATAGAAGCAGTGTTTGTTATTTTTAAACCACATTTACTTCCTATATTTATTCAATTAGCAGTTACCGTTATACAAAATATGACCCCAAACTTTTGAACAGTAGTGTATACACATGTATGCACACGGAAATGTGTGTGTTTTTGTCATTCTGTACCTCCAGCTGTACGAGCTTCTCTCCAGGACTGTGGAGTTCATGCTGTCCTTCATCTTTTTCTCCTACCTTTGATCCCACTTTAGGATACATCCCAAAGATGAGATTATACACCTGAACAGAGTACACACACATACACACGCACAAGCCCAGATTTAGAAACTCCTATCTCACACATATACTTTAAATAGCCAGAGAAGAGAAGAAACGAAACTCCCTCAGGAAAACTAACATTTCATTCGGAAACTCACAAGAGCATATCTCAACACTTTTAGATCGACTACAGCACATTAACCCGACACATTAAAGCGTGTTATGCTGGAGCTCCTCTGCCCTAAAGCATTAGATTCTATTGCACATCCTCTCTCTGTGTTGTCATGGAGCGGAATCGTTAATGGTGCTGCAAACCCGAACTGAGACTCCAAAGAGGATGAAAGGGGAAGAAGGCTCAGAGGAGCATGACGCTGAGTCGTGATTTGGACTTCAAAAGCACTGCTGTCTGACCTGGGTTGGAGGAAAAAGGAAGTAAGAAGAAAGTGAGAAAACAGACCTCTTTCAGGTTGATGGGGGAGGAGAGCAGCAGGCTGGCGGTGTCGTTTGGCAGGGAAAGGTTTCTGATCAGGAACTGCTGGAACATCGACTGGTTCCGGAGGACACTTCCCACGGTAAAACCTGAAGCACAGACATGAACACAAATTTTTCATCAAAATAACTTTTATTTGCTGCAGTTGACATATATGTACACTACCATTCAAATGTTTGAGGTCAGTATTTTTTTTCTAAAGAGGGATGCATTCAATTGATTAAAAATGACAGTAAAGACTTTTAAATTGTTACACAAAATGTCTATTTCAAACTAATTGCTGCTGAACTCTTTTGAACTTGGTATTCATTAAAGAATTCTGAAAAAAAAGATTAGGGTTTCAACTAAAATATTGAGCAATACAAAATATTTCTTGAACACCCAATCAGCATATAAGAATGATTTCTGAAGTGTCATTTAACATTCTGAAGGACACTGAAGACTGGAATAATAGCTGCTGAAAATTCAGCTTTGCCATCACAAGAATAAATACATTAATAAAGAAAACAGTTATTTTTAATATTCAAAAATATTAGTTTTTACTGTATTTTTGAGAATGTAAGAGACTCTTTCAAAACCTTTTAAAAATATTACCAACCTCAATTGAACGGTAATGTAAGATGATTTGATTCTTGAGCTCAATATTCTTTATGCAAGTACAGTATAAAGCAATCAATGTGATTATTTAGGTCATCTATTGGCCATGTGTGTTTAAACTATGTGAATATGCATGTTACATCGAACTTTGGTAGGCAGAAAAAGAAGAAAGTTTTTCACATTAACTTCATTTGTAGTCTTCTGCATTCGCATTCATACAGTATGAATGAAAGTGAATGGAGCACAAAGTATGGTATTTGTCCACTGGTGTGTAAGAAATCAGCTCCATAACACTTAAAACGCCAGATGTCTGCCGCTTCAGGCATGTATGTGTAAAATGTACTGCTGTATGGTTGTTTTCAGTGTGGTCTATTATTCCCTTCAATACATGGTCAAAAAAGTGTTTTCATATAAATGCATGATTACAATTGGTAATATACAAAAAGTTACTTTTTAAGGCCAAAAGTATGCATATAGTGTCAACAGAATATACTTTTGTTATGCTACCCATAGTTGAGCCACATGAAAGCATGCATTTGAAATCTAATAACAATGAGATTTAAACACTAAATCCAGCAGAAACGCCATCACTGTTTTACTACAATAGTGATTTGCTTCTAATTTGCATGTACGGTTATGGTCAAGGTCGGTGTAGGTATGCATGTATGTATGTGTTTCCTGACCGTGGCTGGTGTCGTAGTGGCTCTCTAGAGGGCCTTGTGCTGAGCTCAGACTTTCAAGGTGCTGCTGCAGTGACTCCAGCTCCTCTCCCAGACTGGGCCTGTCTGAAGTAAACAAGTGATTCTGCTCCACGACTTCACTGATCCTTTCTAACAACTGAGTCACACTGAAAAACAGGAGGAAAAATAATAAGAAGAGAGGACTATAATAAGAAGAGAGGGGCAAATTATATAAGCAGAGTAATCAACTGAAACTGGGGTGGGGGGGCATATTAAGGTATTTTACCTCAAAATCCTATATTTATATCTCACACCAAAGATACATTTTTTTGGTTATATTTTTCGAATGTAATTCTAGCGTTCAATTAATGAAAACTATTTTTAAAGGGGTCATATGATGTGATTTAAATTTTTCCTTTCTCTTTGGAGTGTTAAAAGCTCTTGGTGCATAAAGAAGATCTGTAAAGTTGCAAAGACTAAAGTCTCAAATCCAAAGAGATATTCTTTATAAAAGTTAAGAGTCAACCACACCTACCTAAAACGCCTCGTTCTAACACGCCCCCATATATCTACGTCACTGTGTGGGAAGATTTGCATAACGCCGCCCAAATGTTCACGCAAAGAAAGAAGGCGTAACTTTTATTCTCGCAGTTGCCGCTGCTGCCATGTTGTGGAGTCGCTGTGTGTTTGTTGTGAAAGCGAAACTACTTTGTTTGGCCTTCCAAAAGAGGACACAACTAGAAATCAGTGGTTAAGTTGTATTTACAACACTGTTCCAGAACAGTTCAATCCAAATATTCAGATGTGTGCTGCGCATTTTATGGAGGATGGATGAGGACTGTTTCCTGAACCAGTAGCCTAATGCGTCTGTGGCACAAAGGCTGTTTCTATAAAGTTGGGCAGTTCCAACTTTGCAAGGACAGTCTGGCGCTTCTGACTCACAGCCT